TGGGAAGTAATGTAGAGCAGGTCCTTGCTTCATCTACCAGGGGAAGCATGGTGCACATTGGGATTTACAATTACCTGCAAGTAAATATAGAGGCTGGTTAAACCTTAGATGGGAAGAAATGCAGACCTCCTCCAGCTGGCTTTGAATGCTAATATTTTCTTTGGGTTTAATCTGTTTACCATGACATTACTCTTAATGGTTTCATCATCAGTTCTGCTTTCCCACCAGTATTAAGGATGGAGTTTCCAGACAGACAATCCTAGCTGTTAGCCATTTGTCCCTTATCCATGGCCAAGGGCTACCAAGTGAGCCTTGTACCTGGCCACACCATTGGTCCTGTGGTGTGTGTACCCTGGGCTGGCCATCCTGCTTTTTGAAACCCTTGAAAACTCTTTTAACGGATGCTTTTAATGCATCTGCCATGCTCGCCTAATGGCCTCGGGAAAATGAAAATGAGAGGCTTTCATTATGTCGTTATGCGGCGTTTGGCTGATGTTATGGGCTCCTGGCCTCCAGGTCCCTCTGTTGATGTTTTCTTCTTATATCTCTGAAAGCTTTAAGTCAGGGCAAGCTGCAGCTGCTCCTGTTGGCAAAAAGTAGCAAAAGTCAGTCCTCTTCTAAGATCAGCCATTTGCTCCCTGCAGCCGATTGCTGCGAGCCCTCCTGGGCAGCAGGACCTTGGGGCACATCGGTCCCATTCAGGACAGGGCAATGCATTTTGTTCCTCCCTTTCATGGCAAAGCTGAAAACGAATGATGGAGAGCAGGCAGCTCTTGTCTTAGCTGACAACCTGAGAGGAGCTTTGCTAGTGGAAAAGCCCAGGGGAGAGCAAGGAAGGCTGCTGGCAAAACTCAGCAAGGGACTCGCTCTCAAAGGAATTATAAGTAACAAGCTGAAGTACACCGATAAAGTTACCCAAGTTATTTTGACCATAAAGCCCAGGATGGTAAAGGCTCTTAACCTCTTATTAATCAGTGAGAAGCTGGAAAAGGCTGCACAATGATCTCAGCTGCTGAAGCTGCTGTGCCCTTTTGCTCCCTTTAATTTAATTGTATTAGACCTACCCACGTCCTTTGTTCTTCCGCTCAGGAAATCTGCTGCTGGTTTTGGCAAGGCTCACTCTGGCTCCACATGGCTGGTTTGTGGACAGCCAGGAGGGATGAGAAGGAAGGCAGGAAGGGGAAGAGGATGGGAAAAGGTCCCACAGGAGCAACCTGCTTAATGTGCCTCGTTTGTCTTAATAGTGCCTCCATGTCCCTTCCTGGTAAAACATCCTCCTGATAAGACAAACAGGCAAAATTGAATGCAGAAGGACTCCCGCTGATTTCAGCAGAGATGGAATTTCATGCTTAAATCTTAAAACTAAAAAAGACGAGTGCCTGCAAGTCAAGTCTTGCGCAGCAGGAACTGGCAACCCAGCAATCATTCCTACCCCCAGCCTTCAGTTCCACTGAGGGGTTGGGGTACCTCACTTTTAGCTTAGCTGTTCTGCTTTGTACCACTTTTTCCTCATCAGACCCATAAGAAATAAGAGCAACAGCTTAGCCCTGGGTTGTCCACTTGCTTAGTGCGCAGAAAAGGGTCCAGCAAGCACAGCAGAGCGATTGTCATTGCTAACCCCTGGCTGTTTTCTCTGCTGGTGGTGATGGCATCACTGTACCCCTTGTCGAAGTGCAGTTCCATGGGGGCTGTTGGGGGTCAAACCCTCCCCTGCCCTCCTGCTGCTTCCTAGACTTCTCCAAACACCACCACCTCTGTCCGACCCACCTCCACAGGGCTGCAGCTCCCCTCCCAGCAGCATCCCAGGGTGTGGATAGAGTTTTCTTCCTTGGTGGTGACATGGAGCAGCTCCAGCTGAGGATCCAGCAGTGTCATTGCAACTTCATCAATTGTCCCAGCAAATGCATTGGCCTCCGGTCTCCTGTCAGCATCATTGAAAGAGTACTGTCAGCTCAACCCACTAGCATTTGTCTTCCCTGCTGCCAGAAATAATGATTCAGCACATGCATACTGGTTTTAGCACTTGTGTCCCTTTACATGACAGTGTAAATATTTGTATGTGTTTGTATAACAGGAAAAGACAATGTGTACAGTCCCTCACCTCATCAGAGGTGATGATGTGTCAGGAAAGCCGCCCTGGCACTGATGCTTTGTGAAACAGTTGCTTTTCACTGTATGGGTGGGAGGATGCGTCCCACTGATGATGTACTGGAGGGGTGGCACAGGAGTTGTCCTCGTGTGTAACTCATGGGTTGTAATGGAAACATCAGAAAGAAATTAGTGACCTCCTGTGTTGATATGGCATTTTTACTATCCTTGGTTTCACTTCGTCTTTCTTAAGTGAGAAAACAAATGCAAGAGGTGGACACAAATGCGCTATCTCCAGTTCCAGAGTTTGTCCCTGCCAAAGGACAAGACAGGGGAGAAGCTAACTCGAGGGTGTGTACCTTCATTTCCTTTCCATCAAGGAATGATAACTCTTAATATGTGGAAAAAGATGAATCACTTACAGAAAGCTGTGGTTAAAAAAGGGGATTTTCAGATGATTTTGAACACTTCAGGCTTGTCTGAGAAACACGATTTTGAGCTCCATGTTTGACTGGATTTCTATGAATTCAGAGTCCAGCTATACAAAATGCCACAAATCTATTATGGCAAGCCCAGGTTTTCCCAAATACAAAAGTTTCAAGATTGTCCGCTCCCTTTCACAGCAATGAATTATCAGTCATGTGCTTGCAGTGAAGTAGTGCATCGTTTGCTTACTAGTTTTATAGGGGGATCCTTCTCTCATTGCTTGCTGTAATTCTTCTTGGATCTGAGGAGTGAAGCATATTTACATTGGCATGTGGGATTCTGGAAAATCTCAGGAGAAAATAAGACTGGAAAGGAAGTTTTTCTGTCCAATGAAAATTTTTGTGATGCATTTTTTTTAAAACTTGAAACAGAGAAACTCCAAAAAACTTTAAGCCAGCTGCAGCTACTTATTTTTTTTATTTTATCCTTTCTATTTTGTTAGTAAATTTACTTTATGTTGCTATGCAAAGTAGAAATTCCAGATTTCTTGGATAAAAATTTGGGTCCAGAAAGTTCATTTCAGTAGTTTTGGAACTGTTTGGCAGATAATTTTAAATCAGAAAGTGGTGATCTGCTTCACTAAAAATAAAAAGTAATGATCCAGTAAATAACTAATTTTGTGGTTTGGGGTAATTAGTGGAACAGCTTGGCAGATGGAAGGCAACAGGTCTAAATTACAGCACTAAGTCCATTTGCAGGAAGATATTATCTGACTTTGTTGTTATTAATAATAATTAATGAGAATTAAAATATTCAGCTAGGATTTTTGCTGTTGCTATTAGCGGGAATGTGTGTGTATATATATGTATTTGCTCTTTGATGCTTCTCTTGGTTGGTTGCCTCTCAATCCTTGACTGTCTTGCTCTGGGACTTTAATAATACTCCAGAAATTATTCAGACCACACCTTTGTCTAGCACAGAGGAAACTTGAGGCTTTGACAATTAGTGCTGCTGGTTATTCCATGAAAAACCATGGATGATTCCATGGTCTGACAAGGAAAGCAGCAGTAAAAAGTCAGGAATATGTATTTAGTCCTTTATCAGCAGGCTCAGAGGGAGTATCGGTTGGTGGCTGGCAGCTCGCTTTTGTGTCCTGTTTTTGCAGCACCAGTTGCTGGAGATGCAGGGACAGTGCCATCACCTCTGAGTGTGCACAGACCTGCATAGCTCCAAAGCCTTCTCTGCTGAAAATCAGGCATTAATTTGCTGAAGTCCAAGGTGCTTAAATTTCAATGCCCCCACGACACCATGGTGGTCACTTAGTCTTATGTCCTTCGCGACACCAGCCTTTGGTGTTTCTGCTGGGCATTCCCATCCCAAACCTGTGTCCTGCAGTAGGTTTTGAGCACGTGTTTTATGAAACCTTTCAACTCACAGGGTTCCCATGATGGGGGAGATCTTTAGTTTAGTAGATGATTGCTATCACTGTTAAAAACAAAATATGCTTCTCCCTTTGTTTCTGGCTCAACTCTCCTGAGTTTCAGTCTTCCACCCCTGGACTTTGCTCCACCTCTGTTTGGTAGAGTTAAAGCCCTTCAGAGTCTGAAATCTTCCCACATGCCCTTACAGACTGGGAGGAGTCATTTCCTAATCTTCTCTTTCAAGAGGACAGTGATAATTGAGAACTTATTATTGATGCTATTGACTTTAACGTGGTTTGTGTTTGGGTTTTTTAGATAAATTGTAATTGTTCCTTTTTATCATTGTACAACTACTGCAAATAATTGCTGTTCACTGTGTCTACATCTAAGGATGTGGCCCCACTTCTGTTAAAGATCCAACATTTGGGGCCCTGATGGACAGTTGAAGAGGTGTTGATTTGGTTTGGGAAAAAGTAGGTACATCAGTCAAAGTGGTGTTTACTCACCTCCTCAGAAGGTTTTGTAAATTGTGTTTGTTATTTTTAGCAGCTCCTTTTTAAGTGGCGTTGTATCTGTGGTTTCAGTTCTGGTTGTAGGCTGGGCTGTATTCTACCATCCTTAATCAACTTGAGTGCTTTCTTCACTTTCCTTAATTTGATTTTGCTAAGAAATTTCAAAGAGTGAGATGATACTTAGATGAATGAAACTGGGGATTAGATGGGATTAGATGGATCTTAACAAGCAGATGCTGTGCTTTCTATGGGAAGATTTCTAAGCTTCATTAAACCAAGAGGGGCTCTTTTCCCCTGACATGTACAGATGTAAAAGCATTGTATTATACCCTATTATTAATACAAATGAATCTTGATGGCAATAGTAATCTTTTGGTGAAATTTCAAAGTGTGGCCATATTCAAAGCCCCCATGAAAGGCTCTTTTATAGCCTTATATATGGTGACTTCAAGGATTTTTTTCTTTATCCAAGTGCCCAAGCCATTGCAGGACAGAGATATAAATGTCTTGTTTATGCTATTTATCCACTTACCTGTATTTTTTCTGTTTGCAGCATTTTCGTTCCTATATATGTTGGGCTGGTGGGAAATCTCATAAATACTATGATAGCAATGGTTTGGATCCCTTTGCAGGCTAAACCAAAGTCAGACCATCATGACATGGAGAACAGTAAGTATTTAGTGTTTCTGATAAATAGCACATGAATAGGGATGGGACATTGATATGCTGTAAGGACTCTGCTAAAGGACTTGGGGTTGTATTTAAGGGCAAAAGATGCCAGCCTTGAAATGCTGACACTTTAATGCCTAAGCTGTCTTTGTGGAATATTATTATTCCCTACCTACCGACCACTCTGCTGTGCAGAATTGCAGGTTTCCAGCCCAGTGCTTGCTGCACATCTCAGAAAAGGTGAATGTGGACCCCTGGCTGGGGCTTCGTGTGGCTTCACACGGGAGGCAGACCTGCTGTCTCACAGGGGTTCTCTGCACGCAGACCTAGCAGCAGCTCCCAAACTCCTGCTGTCGGCAGAGAGCTGGTGCTGCAGAGACTCACCTTTTCAGAAAGGTGGTGTTGAACCTGCGCAGACATTCTCAGAGTCTCTTCCTTCCTGCCTCTAACCTGTATAAGTAGAGCATTAATCAATATGTCATTTTCTTTAGGCACATCGCAGTCTGGCAGTGTGTTTAGCATCAGAGAAATCCTGCGCCTGATGAAGTTTCCAGGAGTGATGGAAATTTTCATAGTCAAGGTCCTTGCTGGACTCCCCATTGGTAAATCTTGCCCACTACCCATGATTGCTGATGTATTTAAAATAAGATGATGTACACTTTAGGTCAGGCTTGTCTCAAGTTGCTGAAAGCATGTAGCATTTGATCACAGAGCAGTGAGGGTTCAGTTCCTAACTCGATGCTGGATGCTTTTAAATGCTCTCAGCTACATAGGGTCAAAAACCTGTCGCTTAATGTAAAACAGACTACTTGCTACAGGCTCCTTCTGTGACTTTTGGCAAATCACTTAATCTATCTACCCTGGCTGTAAATGTTTTTTTTCCTGTTGTCTGTCATTTCTATTTAGGCTATAACCTCTTAAGAGCAGAGGGAAATCATTTGTACTCTGCCAGAAACACTGAGATCCTTCTTGATTTTACTTAATGATTTTAAGGGGTATGTGTACATGAACCTTTTTCCCAACAACTGAAAGCTGTTGCTGGATGAGAGGCTGCTGGATGATGTGGCTGCTCTAACTGCCAGCTGCACGCAGAGGTGCCACAGCATGTCTCTTCCTTTGCACACTGATGGTGGTGCTCACTTTCTCTGCTTTGTATATTCTACTCTGGTTTTTGTGTCATGGTAGACAACCGCTGCGACCTCAAACCCATCCCAAGCCCGCCTGTTTCCCTACTCCCTTAGTCAGTTGCTGTCCTGGCACGATCCATGTCTCCAACTGGCCTGGTTATCCATACCCTTGGTCACAATTTAATCATCTTTAATTTTGCCTACCCTCTGTGTTCTCCTCGCTTCCCCCACCCAATTGTCTAGAGATTAATCCAGCATGTCAACCTTGTTAGTGGTGGTGTAAGGAAAGAGCGATGTTCTCTGCCCGTCCACGCAGAGAGCCTTCACGGCTCTTCTCCCAGTCAAACCTGAGTGCAGTTTCTCTTGATTAGAGTTTGAAGGATTGGATTTTGTACTCATCAAAACACGTGCACGTCACACATCTGAACAAACTAAGGCAATTCCCTTCTGAATAAGGATCTTAAGAGAGGATTTAGGGCACCTTAGCTTTTATACTTTGCATCTTTGTCTAATTCATCTGTGTCTGCAGAATCCCTTGAAGTTTGAATAACATGAAACATAATTTACAAATTAAATTCTAATTTGTAAACTGTAAATTCAGTTTACAAATGAAAGCAGATTTGGCTGTGGAGAGTGGCTGAATTGGAAGGGGGTGGCATTTCTGGGCTTGGCCAGGTTCAACTGTTATTCCTTGCTGAGGCTCTGGGGGAACAAGTCTGTCTGGAGCTGTAGAATAACATGCAGGGAACTTAGGGAGAAGTGAAGGATTTCTGATGACTTTTTTTCTTTTTGTACATAGTTGGCATTGGCTGAGATCAATAATGCCAGCTGGTCCTACCCCGACCACTAGAGACAGCATACAGTCTTGATGGTCTGCTCATCCAGCTTGCCCTGACAGTGCTCTTTTTAGGTTATTCTGAAACTAAACTTTTAAAACTTTATTTTTAAAAGTGTTTATAAAATGGCAGCGTGTCACAAATGAGATAGTTGAGTGATGTTTTATGAGGGTTTTCTCTGCTGATTCCGGCTCATTTCTCAGCTTTAAAGTAGTATTCATTTTTCTGCTTAAAAATGCCATCCTGAGACCACATCCATATGGAATCTACACAGTGATTTCCTGTGTGCTCTCCTTTTTCCAAAGACCAGGCGAGATGCACTTTGTTGTAGTCATTGCTGCTGAAATGCAAATTCCTCCCTGTTACAGAAGATGTTCTTCTTTTTCTCTGCACAGCAAAAAAGCGCACTCAACCAAAATAAACATCTCCTGCCCAAAACTGCAAGGGGACTTCTAGGCAAAGAGAATGGAGAAAGTGAAGCTTAGATTTAAGGCAGGACATGGGCTAACAGTCTGTCAGAAATGGCTGGGAATATTTCGGTGAGAGTAGGAATGGGTTCACCAGAGGCATTCCTGCTCTGAGTATAGTGCTTGCACTGTAGTGGGGAGTGATTAAAATCCCAGTGACTTTTATTTGCAGGTCTCTCTTCAGATTACTGACCATACAATGGCAGCTGAAAGGGGATTCGGCCATCACCTACTTCTCTGCTGCTCACAGCTGGAGGCTGAGCTCCTCATGAGTTCATTTACCTTTCATCTCCCGGCTGCAACTGTATAATTAATTAGATCACCCAAATTACAGACGTTTCTCTATTTACTTTGTAAACACGTTTGTGATATACACAGAAGAAAATCTTCTGTTCTTTATGGACCTCATTGTTGTCTAAAATTAGCTTTTTTGAGACCGAAAGAGCCTCTCCGGGAGGGCTGCAGGGCTGGGAACCTCCTCCCTGTGTTGCATAAAAGCAGAGACACGGGCTCTGTGCCTCTTGCAGAAGGGCAGCTGCCAAGGGATGGACGGGCAGCAGTCCTCTCCAGCACAGCCAAATTACATCCTTGACTGACCTGGGAAAAGCGAGTCTCATTGCATTGCGGTAGATAAGAGACGGAAAAGAAAGCACAAGGATGAAAATGTCAAACATACCTTTTACTGACCAGAAATCACCAGAGCCTTGAAAATACTGGTAAATAGATGCTTCTACGAAACTTTGGCTGCCTCATCCTTTTGGAAAACCTGGTTTGAATGCAATCACGTTAGCATCTCCCTCCCATTTTTAAAGGGACTTTGTCACGTGTGGAGCAGGATTTTGCTGTGGGCCCTGGGGCTCTGCGTCCTTTCAGTTTGCAACCCAGCGTAGGATCCCTGAGACAGGCTCCCAGAGGCCATGCTCGCCTTTTTACACTGGCTCTCGGTAAGGTTTGCTAAGCTGGCCCTCCCAAAGCCACGGGTTGCTTTTAGAAATGTCATGGGTTTTTGTTGTTTTTTTTTAAATATGACTTGTACTCCTTGTGTATCTTTTGTGCTTTTCCTTATCTTTATCACATCTCACAAAACATTTACCTGCCGATTGCTGCATAACCCTAGTTACTCATCTCTCTCGTGCCAGGTTTTCTAAGCAGTTCACCCTTTTATTTAGGGTGCACACCCGCATAACAAAAAAAAAAAAGAGGTTTCTGAGGATAGTTTCTGCTATTTTCCATTTTTTCCTGCTGAAAACCTGAGCCTTGCACTGTGAATTGAGGCTTATCCAAGCAGCTCCTGTGTGGGATTTTGGTGTCCCCAGAAGAGCTTGGGGACCCACCACCCCAGTGAGCCCTCCCCGGGGAGGGATACATTATTCACATGGCTGCATTCAGTTGATCTGCAGCCTACCCAGGTAGGACCTGATAAGATCGTTGTAAGAAATGATTGTTCCAATGAGCATAAAATCCTCTGAGTTCTATCTCGGGCTTCCCCTGCAGGTGTCACCAAGAAATGTGTTGCCAGTGGGAGAGACCCCCTTAGTCGCTGAAAGAGGGAGCAGGGTGGGTTTCCCTTGCCTAGTCAGATTTAAGTGACCATGGAGGCACAGAGGTGACTCTCATCTAAAGAAGACACCTTTGCATCTCCAGGGGAGCTGTGCAGTGTGTAACACTAATGAAAGAGCACAGCCTATCCCCCTGCTCCAAAAGAAATCAGCTCATTTGGAGGAGAAAGATCCAAATCTGCCTTAACTTGGTGAGGGACTTCAAAGGGGAGAGGAGCTGTAGAAACTGGCGCGTGATACCGGGAAGAAGCATCAGGTATGTAGGAAGGTCGAGCCCCTCCTAGGCGGTACCTGCAGCGGAGTAGAAGGATGAAGGGTGAGCGCCCGCTTCAATCTAATCTTCCTGCAAGTGAAACGAAGTGCGGTTTTTCTTTCATTTCTTCACGTGTGCCTTTTATAAACATGTGCAACTCTGTTGCCTATTTTGGGTGTTGTGAGTAAATATGGTTATTTGCATGTTACCTTAAGCTGGCTTGAGCTAGAACGATTTCAAAGTAACTGGATAACTATGGGGTGCTCTCCACAGAGGGGTGTGGTGAAGCCATAAATCTTCACGAGCCCCAGCTCCCTGATACCTTCTCCAAGTATCTGGAGAGTAGCAGAGCAGGACGCCCTTCCTGACCCCAGTCCCTCTCTCCCAGTGCTGCAGGGCCAGCTGGGGTGTGGGTATCCCCACTAAGGGGAAAGAAGTGTCTCCAGTGAGCGGTGGAGTTCAGGAAGGTTTTGTGGCAGGTTTTGGGGTGGGAGGGTGGTGGTCCCTTACGGCAAAGGCTCGAGGTGCTTGGAGGGAGGTCCTTACTGCTGCAGAAGCTCCACTGCCGGGCTGTTGGGTGTGGTAGGGTTGTGCTGGTTTGTTAGGATACAAGTCCTCCATGGTGTTTTACCCAGCGATTTGGGATTGATCTCTGCACCCTTCCAGGAAATGCCAACAAGATCCTTGCCATGCTGCAGGATTAGAAACTCACTTTGCCAGGCCACCAGCTGTCTTCTCAGTCCTCACACGTTGCCTCCTGGGCTCTGTTTTCTCCAGGAAAGAGAGGACCACAGCTCCCTATTTACCATCTTTGTACCTCGGAGGATCCTACGAGGAAGGGCAGAACTCCTAAGGTCGTCTGCTCTCTTTTCCTCTCCCCAGCAGAATCAGTGCTCTCCAATGCACAGAGCCCCGATTTCCTACAGTCTTGGCCCATCTGAGGTGCACAAGACACTAGGGGAGGCAGCAGCCTCCTACCCCATACCACTCTTTGAGAGCAATGTTTTGTCATAATATTTTTAATTATTTGACGGCTCTTTGTGTACAATGGGAGCATGTGTACGCGTGTCTGGTTTTGTGTATGTTTGGTGGTGGGGGAAATGCACACTATTGTATTTTCATGTGAGATTAAGTGAGTGGGCATTTTCCGTTAAGCTTTCCAGAAATTGCCTTAATTGAAAAGCAGACCCAACCTGTGGTCTTTCTGTCCATACTTTCCCCAACTGGTTGTATCAACACTGCTATTGGTCCAGGAGAGCAAGAAACTTCATGTGCCACCACCATCACTGCCCAGGGGTGCAGTGAAACCGCTCTATTTAGGCTGATGTCAACAGGTTGTTTCCCAGGCAGCGTTCCCCATGGTGAAAATCTGAAATCAGGCAAAAGGGGCAAGGAATCCAATCAGATTATTTTTATGGTTACAGTCTTGTCTGAACAAATGTTTTCTCGCTGCCTTAATGGTTAGTCTGGCTTGGGTGATAAAAATATTTACCAGTTTATAATAAACAGCTGAATCTACAGCCTACATAGTCACATTATTTTAAAGATGAAAGTAAGGGGGATAAAAAAGTTAACATTTAAAGATTAAATTACTACACTGACTTTGAATAGGATTCTGCTCATGTTTATATCCAGTCCTAGTAACCCCAGGGAGAGATACTGACTCATACTGGAGGTGACTGAGAGCAGGGTCTGGGCCTCTATATGCAGTGCAAGTATATTGATGTATGCTTTTTATTAACCCTCCCTCTAGGTTTCTTCCTGGTTATGTTTTCCATCATCTCTATGGATTTCTTTGGCTTGGAAGCAGTGGAGTCTGGATACCTGATGTCATATTTTGGTGTCCTTCAAATGGTAAGTGAAGTGGAAGTCCGCCTCTCACTGTACCACTATCTAATTTGCTGCCTTTTTGACTCATGCTCTCCCAAATCCAGGTGTAATAGTGACAGGCAAATCCTAACTCTGCCATATAGCACTTGGCTTCAAAACGTAGAAGTGACTCCAAAAAACTTTATTCCCCTTGCCTCTCCTTGCAGATCTTTAAGCTGCTAAAAGGAGCTATAATTTCTTTGGATTTATATTGTGCCCTGGTTTTTGTAACAAAACTTATATTGAAGCTAAAGTGCCTTGACTAAGGGTTTCCCTGGCGAAAGTTAGCTGATTTACATTTACTTAGTAGCGCCCTGTAAATTTATGTAAGTAGATGGTCTTACTGGTGTTTTCATGGATACCTTTAGTGTTGAGGAAGGACTCATTTCTACTGTGTGGAAAAGAGCATAGCAAGCTTGCACTTTAAAAAAAAAAAAACTTAGGCAATGGTACATGATTAAGAGAGTTGCAAAATGGGTAAAGTTGAAAGTGTCAGCTGAATTAGGGAGTAGCAGGGCCAAAAAAATAGGATGCTGTGTTATAACAGAATTTTCCTTTTGGAGGAAGAGGCTAATAATTTTGCAGACTAACAGATGGTTATAAGCAAGCCTCAAGGTAGGAATGCAAGTTAAGCAATATCCTGAAGGAGGGTGGTCTTGTTATTAAATCCGCCTTCATTTTCTGGGCATTGCCACAGAGTTCCTGTGGGATCTGGAGGAGCTTCTCATCTGGGAAATGGCAGCTCCTTCCCTTGTGATTTGGATTTGGCTTAGTGCCCTGATCTCATCACACCTGGGCACCTTGGCATGGCAGCTGACAAGCATGGCTGTGCATCAGCAAGTGGACTCTGCAGAGTGAAACAGCTGGAGCTGAGGTGCTGGTGCCTTCACCATGTCCGTTCCGGGAGGGTGCCTTTGGACTAGCTGTCACTTAGTCCTGTGAGCTCAGCAACTGCTACCAGCTGGATGTGTGCTCTCATTCAGCCTCATCAGAAAGAAAAGCAGTTTGCCACTGGTACAGCATGGAAAGAGTGTGACAAGCAAGGTGATCGGCAGCTGCTTTCCAAAGCATGCTTCTGACCCAAATTCCACTGCTAACAGAGGCTTTCTCCATGTTAGTCTTTGTATGCTTCCACCTAGAGCAGAGGCTGCAGGAATCACTCAGGTTTTAGAGGGTCCGAGTCGCCTTCTGGTGTCTTCTTCCCCATTTGAATGTAGAGGCACTTCCCAAAAGCTATGTTCTTAACTTAGACTTATCAGTTAAATCCTTGTTATATATGTCTACACTGAAATCAAATGTGGGGTTGTGGGTTTAGAGCCAGCTAACGTGGGCAGCCAGGGCAGGAGTGGATTCGTGTTGCTAGATGGAGCTTGGACGCTGCCCTTCTGTCTGGGATACCTGTCTACCTTCACTGCTATTGTTTTCCAGGTTAGTTTGGTTGAAACTACTGTAGATAAGGCTACCTGTGCTGCTGTGCTAGTGCACCCTACAAATAGAAACCTGGAAGATATGGGAATTATAGCATTCACTCTGCTTCCTAACGAATAATCAGATGTCAGTGCTATCCTGACCCTTCTCACAGTCACAGAGTTTCAGGCCACAGAGGACAATAATTCTTATCACCATGCTCTAACCCAGCAGTGGCTACAGGCTCAGGTGCAGCAGCTACTGTGCTGGGGAGTCTTTGCCCCAGGACATGTGGTGCAGAAACTAGCTTTTGTCAGCCAGGCAGTTTTCTTTCATCTGTCTGTGCAGTTTCTGTCCACGTTGGTACACGTATTCTACAGTGCATGACTGTGGACACCAAAAATATAGGAGGGGTGAAGCTGTCATATAGTACTAAGAAACTTGTCCTCTTCATGGTGCCACATTGGGATTTGCTGCCAGAACACCAAAAAGGAAAGGGGGGGAAAAATGCATGATTTTTTTTTTAAATCCCAGGACACCTGATTCCTGGTGGCAGCAAAGCCATGTGGCCTGAGAGTTTGCAAAGCAACTGCTTTCTGCTTTGTCCCTTGTTCTTTCCACTTTGTCACTGGCAGTTCCAAGCTCTGCTCTGGTTTATGCAGGACCAGATCCTCAACTGATCCAAATGATACTCTCACCATCTGGCTTTTAAATTATTGTAAAACATTAGAATTTGTGTCTTTACTTTCAAATCAGGTCTATGGCTAGAACCACCCAAAGATACCTCTTGCAGATAGTTTATGTTTTACAACTGCTTTCTGTTTGGGTTCCTCTAGTGGGAGATGTATGCAGGGAATGCAGCTGAGCCCCAGAGCTGCTTGTGTGCCTTCATCTTGCCACAGCTGGGATTTCAGATGCATTTGTTTCTGTTGTTCAGTGAATTGATACTGCTGGAGATATAAATGCAGATTAAGGTGCAAGCAAATTCCACCAGTCTGGATGGGTGATCAGTGATTAATATCTGCTGACTGGCTTCCTCACTTCACTGAGTAAATTCTAGCTTTATTCATATGGAATAGAATGTTCTTTTCAATTAATTTCATCAACCAGATCCTTAGCTTTGATTTCTCATCCCTTAGTTTGCCTTTCCATAAAATATTGTGGGATTTTTCCCATTCTCCTGGGCTTGCTCTGAGACCTCCTGTTAGAGGAAACATCCGCCTTCTGTTTGCATCCCTCCCTGGACCCACAAATGGGTCACATTTAAGCAGTTCTATAGGTGGGAACAGACGTCACAGAAATGAAGGGGAAAATAAAAATCAAGTAAAGTCCTGTTTACTTTCAACCTCCCCATAGACATTGAACATGGTGCCTGGGCGGTTGCACAGCACAGCTGGCTGATACTCCCAGTGCCATGTCCCGGGGTCTCACCTGCTCCCAGCACACATTGCGTGCATGAAGTGGCTCAGAGATGTACCAGGAACCCCACAGTGAGCAGCAGGGCTTAGCTGAGCCTTTTACTTAGCTCTTCCCCAAAAGTCATTCACCAAGGAAAGCATTGCCTGGGCCACCAATTCCTGTCAACTTTTAGTAGTATCATTGCTTTGTGTTATTGTAGTTCCTATTTTTTTAATGGTATCTTCTAAAAATGAACATCTTCCTCTAGCACAGAAGGTGATGTTGCAGCCTCCTTTCCCAGCCCGACCAGTAATCCCAGGATGACTTGAATAGTGATTGACTCTTCCCACTTTCCTCTACCGCCCCAAGGATATTATGCTCCAATTGCTTAACCTAATTTTTCAACTTCTCATCCTCATTTAACCTACTGTGGTGAGAAGTAGCCAGTGCACTGTAAACATCTCTGTTTCTCACTGTTCCTCGCGTTCAAGCCAGCTGCAGAGCACCTAGAGAGGAGATTTGGAATGCCTTTGGGTCAGTCCACCTAATTTTAAGTAGGCTACTCAAGCACTTTGTCGTGGATATCTCAAACACCTCTTTGCATAGGGAGATCAGAATAGAAACACCAACCCTTTGGAGGCAAGGCATTTGTCACCTTTGCAGGCAGAGCACATTAGTTAGGACGTTAGTTAGGACTAGACTGGCTAGTTCAGGCAGCCCTTCCGAGGGATCCCATCCAGAGCTGCCCAGCCTCACTTCATTATGCTTGGTCCTCTTCTGTCACTTTATGACCCTGCAGGCCACCCAACGTTTTGGGGGGGACAGGATTGGGGGTGCCCTGTGTACAGCCGAAGAGGATCCCTGAAATTTGCAAAGGCAGATTCAAGGAAGGTTGGGTTTTGGAGCCCAGGAGCCTTGTGGGCTATGACTGGCTGCTCCCCAGAACACTTCTCTCAGTTGCTCCCTTGCTGAGCTTCAGCTCTGTTCACATGGGAATGGTTCATGGCATTTGCCAGCAGCTAAGTGCCTCAGCTGGTGCTAGGGGTGGGGTTTGTCCTCACAAGCACTGTGCATGGAGCACCAATGACCACCACTTACGGCACAGGGCATCCTCGGCACCCTCTTCCCTTTGCTGAGCTGGCTGTCCGTGGCATGATCACTCTTCACCCTCATGCTGGCAGTACATCTGCCCTTTGCCACTTGTAGCCCTGCATGGAGGGACACAGGTTGCCTTACTGCTGCTCCCAGCCTGCCTCATGGAGACCTGAGTGGCCAAAAGTCATATGTCTGCTGATGTATTGTTGTAAAAGTTCCGGTGGGAGTACCTGTCCATGGGCAATGGGGGCTTCCCAACTCTCTGGATGGAGCAGGCACAAATTTACTGATCGTGGTTAGTCAAAGAGCAGAGCATCCAATAGCAGGAGATACTGGAAATTGCAGGCTTAAGTGTGGTAAGGGTGGGAGAGGGGCTCACTTCTGGGCTGGGACTGAGCAGAAGGTGTGCAGGGAGGTAATGTTGTAGATTGGGACAAAGAGCTGCTTGATGAGGAAAAGCCATTGCTTAGAAAATGATATAAGACTGAGGCTGGAGCAGGCAGAGTTCTGATGATGAACTGAAAATAGCAAGTGAGGGTTAATTCAAACGAACCAGGGCTCTTCCATGATACTTGAAGCACCCTGATAGTGTGAGGCTGTGCCAGGTGAGTCCAGGAGGAGGAGTCGAGTGGGAGATAACGAAATGAGGAGGGGAAGGCAGACAGCAGGAGGGGTACCTCTGCTCCAGGTGTCTTGCATTGCAGATTCCATGGCTCATGATAAGTTTGAAGCATCTTTATCTGATCACCGATGGGTCTCTAGGCAAGAGGTTTGAGAGCCCATCAGGGATGCAATCCCTCTGTCCTCCAGGGCTGGGCTTCCAGAATCCTCTTGTCTTAGAAGCCATGCAAACAATTTCCCTCATATTGAATGCCTGGGAGTGTGAGATGCCGTTCAATCTCCCTTCAGAGAATAATTAATTTCATAATAATTTAAAATCATTTAACTTTGCATAATGGGCAGAAGCAGACCTAGGCTCTGGCTGTTTTTGGAGTTGTGAGCACAATAGCATGGAGAACTTCCAGGCATAGTATCTGACTTGGAAAATGCCGCCGGAGGATTAGGTAAGTGAAATACATAGAGTCCCTGGTTGGTATCTGAAGTCACATCTGATGCTTAGATTTCAAACTGCAGGAGGGGGTGGGGGAAGCTTTCCTTTAAGAACTTTTTCTCAAAAAAAAAAAGAAGCAAAATGTACCAAACAAAAACTCTGTGTGGGACAAAAGGGTAGATATTTATTACCCTGAGGATCAAGAAATCATAAGACATCTGTTCTATTTACTGAATTTGAATTCATATTGTTATACAAACTCCACCTCTAGCTGTGCAGCTTCTGGAGGGACAAGTTGGTACGGAGTGATCCTGAAAAGATGAGAGAGATTCCTGGAGGAGAGATTTACATTGCGTATCATCTTATCACCAGTCTGTCCCTCTTGCTTTTTTTTTTTTCCCCTTGCACAGCAAAAGAGATGATTAAAGAGCCGGGGATTTAATTACAGCCAGGTATGCCTAGGGGGAAAACCCACTCGGTGAAAGGACCTTGCAACAACAAACAGAAAGTTCTCCAGTTTCCTCGCTTTGAAGGATTTAAGTCTGTGGAGGGGGCGGGTTGGAGGGGGAAAGAAAGTGATTAGGTTGGAGTTTGCAAAACACAGGGTCCTCTTCTCTGTGCAGCAAAGTGCTGTCTTCAGCAGTTTGGTCCTTGCTGTCCGCTCCCCTTCCAGTCCCACCACCCTCCTGCTCCTCTGCAAGACCTCGACTACTTCCCAAGCACTTTTTGGCATTGCTGTGTCAGTAAAGCAATTCTCTTTTCCCCCGCCCAAGGTTTTGCACCACCTTCAGCCCATGCAGAAAAGCCTCATAATTTTGGTTGCCCCCTGCGGTCTGCCCCAGCTGGTGCCCACCTGCGCATCCCACCCCAGCCGGCTGCGCTCGCCCTGGGAACTGCCAGCCGGGCACAATTTCAAAGGCAAGAGATATGGGCCCCGTGTGTGGGAGGCTGCCTCTGATGTGAATCATGCTATCTGTGCTAGGGATGGGGCCCTGCATCTTCTCTGCTAGACTGTATCAGCTTATCTGGGCTGCTGCGCCTGCCTTTCCAACCTTCTCGTGTCTTCATTTCTAGGCTGTTGGGTGAAAGGGAATTTATTTTGTTGCTGGGCTCTATCAGACTATTGATCGGTGCTGATGGAAGAATCTATAGAAACAATCCTGTGTCCACTGAGCATGGAGGACCAGCCAACCATCTGTGTTGCTCCTCTAACCTCTACCAATGAGGTTAGATACTTGCGGGTGCCAGTCCTTCTCAGCAGCAGCTCCATGCAGCAAGGCTAGTGCTTCACAGTTCAAGTCTTCCAAAAACTGGCACCTTCAAACAGCAACAATCTTTTCCATCCTGCAAGGAATTCCTGAAATTTGTTAACAAGATTAAAATGGGCAATTGACTCTTCTAAGCACATGAGAGCTGCTGCCTTCCCAGAAATCAAATACAGTGATAGAGATAAAGAGTGTTTTTCTAGATGATCAGCTGAGCTTGTGTAACGATTCCTCAGTTTGGTGAATCCAGCATAACAACAGGGAGAGATTTGGCCGCTCTTATGCATTTATTGGGAGACTTATTTGCCTTTAAAGAAGGAGAGGGGGAAGCAGAAAAAAGATGAGTTGGTTTATCCTGTGACATGTGTACACAGCCACGGGCACTGCCTGTTATTTCACTTGCAAACAATTTCCTCTCTCTTTTGTTTATTGATGACAGAAGGCATTCCAGCCAGGTACACTGGCTCTTCCCCGACTTCAAAGGAGGTCAGGTTACAAAGGCAAGCACCATCCAGGCAAAATGAAATGCAGGCGGGGAAGGCCCATCGCAGTCAGTCTCAAGGGGAGGTTTCATGCAAGGGAAAAGCCCAGAACACAGCAGCAGGAATAAAAATAAGTATAAATATCATTGCTGTCTTTCCGGTGCCACCAGGGCTTGTCCATGGGAGCAGTGATGGCCAAGTCATCTGGGATGCCACTGCTACCCCCTGGCAATGGCAACACAGGTCCAAAACCTTACACAGGAGAGTGCACATGAACCACCTTTTGCTTCTTCCTTCCCAAATGTGCCTGTGCAGGCGGCTGCCTCTCATGCAAACCAGGGGACTGCGCACCCAGGGAAAATTGAAGGCTGGAAGTAATGGGGCTTCAGGTCTCAATTCAGACTGGAAGTGAGGCCAGAGCTTCCAGTGACTGGAAATATTATCCGGTGCATAAATGAAGGTGTTGGTGTTTGATAGTTTCCAAAATCAAGATGATGGACCTTGCCTGCCTGGGATTTATGGCTGGATCAGCAGTGACCATGCTCTGGATGGAGTCTGGTAACCCCGATAAGCAGTGGGGAGGCTGCAGTCTGTACAACCCAAGGATGGCTGCTCATCCCCGAGGGGGAAGCAGGTGACTTGGGCTGATGCCCCAGGAAAAAGTCCCATTGCTGAGTTGTTTGGTTCAACAGTGGTGTTTTACCTCGTGCTCGTATTGCCACAGCCCAAGTGATGGGGAAGCCCATGCTGAATGTCCCCCTGCTCCACTCACTCTGGGACAGCCCTGGTGGCCTCTGGTCTGCCTATCTTCAGGTCTTGCCAGCTCTGAGTCTGGCTTTGCTGCAGCGGCACTTGTTCCCAATGCTTAGATGCTCCCACATAGTGACAGAGACATTTTTGGGTACACCACTCCCGTAGCAATCACATCAGGCTGCTTTGGGACGTTGCTGATGATATACCCCAATGACTCAAGGAAGGGCAGGGAGCAGGCTGCATCTGCACAGTGTATCCCGATTAAATACACTCTTCAAGTCCGGGCAAATTGAGAAACGTTTTCTTTCCTTGGGTGTCTCAGCAGAGCCAAACTGGGGTTCGAGTGATGCCACCGCTGAGTCAAGCCATGCCCTGTGATGGGGCTCAGCCCCCGTCCCGCGTGACTCAGCACAACCCTGGCCAGGGCAAGCCAGCGGGAGGGACTGGGAAGTTGCAAAAAGTTAATGATGATTCTTCGTTTCAGGAGCGCTCAGCTTAATGAAGCGTTACTCAGCGGCTCCTCCACCCACCTGCCGAACAGGGACTGCCGGGGCTGGTATCAGCCTCCTCCCGTGTCCGCAGCGGGGCTTTTAGCTGGGATGACTCATGTCACCCCATGCATTGTCCGAGCATCACACCACAGCAGGTCCACCAGTGTCCCCATGACCGCTTGACGGGTAACACGACCCGGGAGAGACACATGGGGCCTGTGCCACCATCACACAGCAACTGGGCACACGTCAGCCAAGCTCTCAAGCCCTGCCCGAGGGTGGGGACAGGGACAAAAAGGAGGCAGGAAAAGCATTTACTAGTAACCAAAATGTCTGCTTGCCGCAATGTGCCCGCATCAAAAAAGGATTGTGCTCTGAAACAAAGTGAGAAGTCAAATTTTGATGCTTACCATTAAGTTGTAGCTTGTTGGAAATACATTCAATTTGCAGCTATTGTCCTTTATGTCAATTTTATTTTGTTTTCACTTCATTACTATTTATTTTTTGCTTTTTCATTTTATTTTAATAATTAAATTGCATTTTCTGGACTGCTTGTCATTTCATTTTAATAATTTTCTTATTAATTATGCACTCATTTCCTTTCAGTTGAGTTTGTATTTCACCCTTATGAAATAGTAAGGCTGAGCATAGTTCTTTCCAGGTCCAAGTGGAGCACTAAAGTTTTCTGCAGGCTGGACTGCCATTGAAATGAAGCCATCACACCAACCAAAGCATTTTGAACTAGAGCTCTTCTTTCAAGTCAGAGGGGTTTTCACCGGATCAAACAAACCCTTTCAAGGCAGGGAAAACTTGGTAGATTCCTATCTGTCCCTCTCATGAAATGCAGTCTGTCAGACTTCATTTGCACAGTGATCTCTTCCAGCCTCTGTCCTCTCTTGTCTGCTTGGGCCAATGTCACTTGAAGTATGGGAGATGCCGAACAGAGAAATAAAGGAGGGAATCTTAGCTCTACAAAGCACTGGAAAAGCCAAATGCTTCCTGCGACTTAAATTTTTCCTGCTCCTCATTCCCTCCCCCTCTCCCCCAGCTTTTATTTAAAATCTGTAAAACCAGTTCCCCGTCCCTCACATCTGCGCGTACCGCTGGGGCTGGGTATTAGCATCTCCGTCGTACTTGTTGCCTGTCTAAAAATGATGAACCACACAATTTGTATATTTATAGTTTAAAATAATGGCAAGAGAAGGTACAGGAAAGGAGGCATTTTTCTCCTCTGCATACAAATGTACAGTTTTTCTTTGGACAGACTTGCCAAGAATGAAGATCCTAGTATTAATTGTATTTCACAAAAACATCACGAGTTAGATTCATTTGTATCTGCAAGCAACTTTAGAAAGTTTCAATCACTGCTGATGAGTAAGCAGTGATAGTAAACTTGGGCACTTTTACCTTGAGTAAAGAATTTCGGCTGATGGGATAGGTCTATTCCTAGGATGCAAAACCCTTGAAATACAGGATTGTGTCTTCCAGCCATTCACTGTGACAGTGAGGTCTCTTTTTCCCCCATTTGCTGCCTTTCATTTGCTTGGAGCACCGTAGCAGTTCTCTTTTGAGCTTGTTTAAACTGTTATACTTTGGGCTTAATGGTGTTCATGTGCGTCTTTCCCAGGTTATTCAGGGTCTGGTTGTTGGAAAACTCACTAACCACTGCACGGAGAGGACCCTGCTCAGACTCAGCGTCTTCGTCTTCGCCAGCGTGGGCCTAGGCATGGTAAGGTTTGGCATCAAATCATGCACAGTGCCTTTTAATAACACAGTGACAGAAGGTCCAGGAGACCTGATTGCAAGCTTTACCCCTTGAAAAGCCACCACCAGCTTTGCTGGGTGGTCCCTGGGGAAGGAACCAGCTCTCCTGGGCCTCTGTGCAAACAGAGCAGCGCTCAGCATTAAGTACCACGTCAAATAACGATAAAAAGCCACGTAAGAGTTACAGGGATTTAAAAAAAAATTAATCCCACACAGAAACTCGTTAAGTCCCTCCTGAGTCACTGAATTTGCATAGGATTCCTGCCCTCAGTCTTGTCAGTGACTGCATTTCCTGAACTACCCAGAAAGTAAATGAAGATTGTGGGGTGGGGGGGAATCATTGTGGTTGTACGCTGCTGCGAGGCAGCAGAGGTTGTGTGCTTTTCTTCTGGGGCTTTATTTTTGCCTAATTCCCCCAAGCTGAGAGTATCTGAGGAAGGAGGCAGCAAGGCAGTAATTTTGTTCCTCCCTTTTGGGCTGAGTGATGTTACCCATTGCCAGTTGTGTCTGCGTGGGCAACAGTCAATGCCAATCTCAAATGGCAATTGGAAAACCCAGTTGACGTAGGCCGCTCTGCTGGTAATCGTGTTTGCTCAGATAAGCCACGCTCAGGGAACCGATAGCTCTGCCCAGGCAATGGGTATGGAGGAAGGGTGCACACCGGTCCCCATCAGCAAGGTGGGCCCAAAGGACAATTGAGCCCCATCAGCCTTTTGATGTTCCCTGTAGGATCTGGCCTCGAGCCTTGCTGCTGGGACACCAGTGCTCCTGTCGGGGCAAGTAGGATGGGTGCTATTCCCACAACCACAGGGAGGTCGGGGCCAAATCCTGGAGGGAGTTGAGGCCCTTGGTTCCCAGCTACATGGATGAGATGAGGCACCAATGCAGCTTTGCTACTCTGAGGCTGTCACCTGTCTGAGATGAGACTGGGAAGGGAGGATGGATGCAGACAAAGAATTGGCTTTGCAGATGGATTTTGGGGCTTATGGAGGTGCTGCCAGGTGGTAGGATGCTCAGGAACGGTTCTGCCTGGCTGATGTCATGTGCTTTTGGCTGCATCCATGTGCCACCTTAGCATGGAACATTTGCACAGGGCTTGGGACTCCTGAGCATAGCCTGGGAAGGGCTTTGAAAGTCTCACCGTTGTTTTTTGTTCATGGGTGGGAGAAATTAGGAGGGACCAAGATGGACCTGGCCCATATGGAGCACCTCCAACCAGATGCAGGGCAGGGTGCCACTGGGACTGCTTCCGAAGCCAAGGCCCAGTCCCAAGGGAATCAGGCAGAGGAGCAACATGGAGTAAATGGCTTTTGTGCGCTGAGGTCTCACTGAAAAGGAATGCTGGAGGTAGGAGAGAAAACCTCAATGGCAGAGGAAGGACACCTGGGGCAGCCCAGCTTGCAGTGTCTAACACCCCGATGTGGGGAGGCTCACATTGGCTGTGCGGGGAGGAAAGCCAGGAAGGGAAATCATTTTACAGTTGGCAATTACACCAAGCCCGGAGGGCTGTGGACATCCTGACAGCACGGGCCTGGGGACAAGGGTCAGCGATTACTTCCCACGAGAACTATTCATAGGCAAACGCAGCTGTGATCCTCCTCACTGAGGATGCCTTATTAAAAAGCGCTCTGTTGAGTGGCTGCCGAGAAAACATCCGTTTCTGGGGTGGCTTTCTGTCTTGGCGGGGACGACTGCCGTCACAGCAGCAGGACCCAAATGCATGAAGCTTTTAATCCTGCACAGCCCGCTGCTGAAAGAGCATCCCGCCCACTGCACCCTTGCTGCATCTGGCCTCCAAATGATGCAGATCCCCTCCCCAAAGGATGGAAGTGATGAGAAAAGCTAGCTGTTAATAAGAGACGCTCTGAAACCCATCTTCATATCACTGGGAGATGGGCTGAAGTGTTCTTGGAAGGCGAGCACTAGTGGCAGCAGACAGACAGACAGACAGACCAGCAGCAGTGCAGCTGGGAAGAGGTTGCAGAATGTTCCCAGCCATCAGCAGCTGGAGAAGGGAAGGGGTGGGCTGGGAGCTTCACAATAACACCTGGAAAAGGAGAGGAGAGGAGAGCTGGTGTCTGATCTGCAGATGCAAGCCGGGAACGCGTGGGCAGGGGTGTAGGAGGGCTTGGCGGTTGCGACAGGGAAGTTTTTCTCTTTGTCTGAAGGCACGGCTGTGCCTCGTCCTGCCTCGCTGCCTGCATTTCCCAGGCGTTTGCTTTTTGACCCTGTCTGCTGAAACTCCTGCTTCTGCCTCCCTCACCTGAAAAATGCCATCAAATCTGCTCAGGTTCAAAAGACTGCTTCCTACCCAGCGGCTGAGGAGTAGCAGAGACCAGGCTCTGCCTTGCTCGGTCCTTTCTGAGTCCCAGAGGAGTGAGGAGCCCTCTCCCCTGGTTTTACAGGAGGCACAGACGTGTCTCAGCTCTTTTCTGCTCGCTCACTTCAGCCCATGAGGGAATTCATACAAGGCAGGAGAGAGTTAAAACTGTTTTTTGCCTATGAGCTCTGCAAAATTGTCCTGCAATGACATTTGCCCTAGCAAGGAATTATTCTCCCTCTGTCTGAATGTTTATGTACCAAATACCTGTTCCTTCTGTCTTTGTTCTCCTGTTCCTTAATCAGAAGTGCCTAGATCTTAACCAAAACGTAGGCAAAGAGCCCCTCAGAGGAGAGAAACCTGGCTGTGTGTGAGTCTAGAGGGGAGCTAGAAATAAACCTCAGTATTTCCAAGTCATTAGTGAGCAATGTCTCTGGGCTTCTCCATCTTCTGTAGCCGAGAGGCAGGGACCAGATCTTAGGGAGAGAGAACTCCAGAGAATGAAACTTCTGGCTAAACCAGTGACAGAAATGTTTTCCAGCCGCAATAACACACCTTGAGACACAGGTGAGGGCAGGAGACTTGCAAGAAATGGGGAATTTCCTTTCCATGCCCCAGAGAAATCCATTCATTTGACCAGCAGGGCTTGTGAATGAGCCGAGAGCCGCTCTAGCCCCACGGCTCAGGGAGCTTCACCGCTTTTGTTTCAGTATTAAACAGCTGGAGGGATGTCTCCGCTAAGAATATGTGCAATAACAAAATCATTACTCTCCCTAATTATGCTCGCTAATGTGCACTCATGGCCAGAAGACCTATTCCAGATTACTGAATTCTGTGAATTTATTAGCGAGGAAGCAGCAGAACAGGATTAGAAATCCCAAAGGTACGGCGTTACACAATACACCGTGCTCATTTATTTTGACAAGCTCAGTTTAGTTTTAATTATTTATGATAATGAACTGAAATGCCTTCTCTAGGCTGTTTTGTATAAGTAATGGAGGCTTCCTGAAGTACACCACATGCATCTGCTGTTCAACGTTTCCTCGGGAATTGGACAAGAGACAGAAGACGGGGAAGGGTGCGGGGCCGTCACTAATTCCCAGACGCTAAAAATACCCACAGCAGTGCCGGAGAAACACGCTGCCAGATTGTAGGGTATCATTTGTTACTTGCACTGCATGCTTGGAATAATTCGCTGCAGACAAATGGTGGGCTGTGAAAAACTCTGCAATGGCCAAAGCCGCACCATTGTGTATCAGTTGTGGCTCCCACAATTTACCTAAGTGATGGGTTTAGCTCGTGATGTTTTTCTAGGTTGTTTCCTGCCACAAAGTCACCTCTTGTGCTCTCTAAGGATCCATGGTCCGTCTAATGATCCACATGATCCTGTCCCTTAGGCCCTGATGACGACTGTGTGGCACTACTGCATCGTTGCGGTGCCACTGACGTTCGCGTTCAGCACGCTGGGCACCATCACCGACAGCATCCTCACCAAGGCCGTCCCCTCCTCTGACACCGGTAAGATTCATCAAAAAAGATCAGACTGATCTTTTCTCATGTTTGAGTCCACCAGGTACTTTCCAGCTGACACCACCACCATTGAGTGCTGGGGCACATTCGTGGCGAATGCTCAATTGCCCAGCAAATCTGATTTGGCAGTTGAATGCAGTGGGTGTCAGCAGAGCAGATGGACAGGGACTAGTGGGGCTAATACAGGATGAACTTGAACAACATTGAGCAAACATCCCGTGACCCAGTGCTCCTGGTCCTGTGCTGACATCCATAGTGCCAAACACATTAAGGGAAGCCTCTCCCAAACTCTCCTTTCCATGTGAACCCAAGATATGATCAAGAAAAAGACTCAACAACCGGCTCTTGCACTGTGAGGGTGACCAAGGGGGCTATTCATTCATGCCTGTCAACTTAAGGCATCTCAGGAGGGTAATCTGGATCGCTCTTCGGAAAGATATTTTGCCTGATGCAGTAATTGCCCTCCTCTCTACGTTTTGGCCATGTTTCAGTCAAAGAGTTACCATATTCCTCTGTACAAGGGGGCTGAGTAGACACACAAATCTTTATTCCTGGGGTTTTTCTTCTGTTGACAAAGGAAATAGGCCTACATTGTTATCATGGGAGCCTTGCTCAGTTTGTCCCAGAATGGAGCTGGGTTAACCCAGTTTTGTATCCTTTGCTCAAGCTCTTTCAGTGTTCGCTCCCCAGGCCACGTTCACCAGGAACCTGAGAATCTCTCTGCTCTAGCTGAGCCTTTCTGGGATGCCAGCCTGCACCCTTCACCTTCCCTAGCAGCCATCTCAGCAGATACCTCTGTGTAGACCCTACAAGCACGGGAGTTAGAGTTTGCACAGCCCATTAATGAAGTTTATAAAGCACTTTTGGGATGCTTCTGGATGAAGAGCTTTTCTAAATGTCACTTCAGTAGTTTATTTGTAGAGCTGAATACTGTATCTCCTACAAATGCTGGGAGCCTGTGATTTCTGAGTGTGGTAATTCTACCTGGGAAAACCACTTAGGTTAGGTCCTGGGGAGGTGAGGACTGGGGATGTCCGAGCCCCTCTGCTCAGATGGGAAGAAAATCTGCTGTTTCATGAGTTGGATCGATGTTCATGTGAGGGGGAAGAGCCAGGGGGGAAGGCCACCAAGCAGCTTTGGCACGTACAGCCAAGCTGGACTTCATCCAGGCTCTTCTGAAAGGGACTTTGTGAGGAAAACCGGAGCACTGCTTGGCTTTTAAAGCCCGGAGGCAAGCTTCGGTCAGAGAGGAAAATGCCTCACCCTGCTCCCTGCTTGCGTATGTTGTTAGGTCAGCCTGCGCCTCGGCGGGACGGACAGTCTCCACACGGCAGGCAGGACATAGGGGCAGGATGGAGGCAGCCTGCAGAGTGATTTTTGATAGTCAGGAGGGGCTCGTGGGACATCAGAAGAGCCATGAGCTGTCTGGGGGCTTTCTTCTGCCTGTCCATCCTGGGCTGATGCCATGCCAAATGCTACTACAAATTGCAGAGTTATGTCTGGCTCTACACAGGGCATGATGAGGAAGGATGCTGCTGGCACAGAGTACTGTGGCACCGGGAGAAAACTTTGCCTCCACCGCTCCTCCCTGGCCCTCTCCTTTCAAACCTCACTTCCTCCTTGCAACGTTTTCAAGGGAAGAGGCATCTGATGGCTCTGTGCTTGTTTTGAACGCAGCCGGGCCGGGAGCGGGGCGAAGGCAGGAATGCCTGACACAGCAGAGCCACGTCCCGGCGAGCTGCCTCTCCACAGCAGCTGCAGCAGTGGTGGCGTGGGTGTCTCGCAGAGAAATGTGGCTATTAAAATGCCTGCCATCCGTCTCAGGCCGTGGGTGGCACCCCGCAATGGCTGCTCCACCCGTACAGCAGCTAAAAGGCTGCTCCTTCCTGTGCAAGCCCGTGATCGGCTCTGCAAAGTGAGCACTTCGGTGGAGTATTAGAAATCCCCACTTTTCTAACAGCCTGAAAATCCGGCTTTTGTAAAAGCCTCCCTGTCACCGTGTCAAAAACCTGAGCAATAGCTTGCAACAACTTCTAGTTAATGCAGGGAAATCACACCTTGGGAATTTGCCTTGGGAAACATCACTTTTGAGGCTTGCTGCTGTCTTGTCTTGATGTTTTTTGCCAGCTCGGGGCCAGCAGAGCCCACAGAGGGTTTTCTTTGGGCCAGTGAGAAGCTTTCCAAGGAGGTAGAGGTTGGGCTGAACTCAGGTGTCCATTCTGATTGTAGGGTTGGAACGGATGGGGTGTTGCAGGAGGGATAACCTGTCCGCCCTCACTAGACACTGAGTCACTGTCCTCACCTTTTAAATAGGTGTCTCAGAAAGGGAGCAGTGGGACACAGGATGGCACCATCCCTTGCGCCCATCATCCTGCTTCAGGACCGATGCTGATGAGTTTGCTGCTTGTTCTTTCCTTATGGCAGGGACTTTGCACTGAAGGGAAGAGAGCGGAAATGATTTCATTCGTTTCCCTTTGGTTTTTTTCCCCCCCTCTCCTCATCTTCAAAGGCAGGAAGAGAAAATTCCACCCCATGTGCACATGCTGTTCAGCTGGGGCGTGTGAGCTGGTGGGAGGGCAGCCCCCAGCCTCCCAGCCCCAGCCCCAGCATCCACACAAGCACTCCTTGTCAGCCCCGGTCCCTCCCTGAGAATGGAGGGCTTGTTTCCACACAGAGCCCCCCACCCTGGGGGGAAAGAGGGAGGGAGGAAGCCTGTCAGAGCCTCCCTGCCTAACGGGCCCACGTTTCATGATTTTATTTGCACGTCAGAGGCAAAACCTTAGGAGGAGAGCTTGTAGCCAGGCAGGGCTTGGCACATTGAAACCCCCAGCTTTGCTCGGGCTGTGCTGGTTTGAAGGCGGCCGCTGGCGGCGATGACCTAATCATTAAATTAGGCCCTGCGATTACCCCGCGGGCTTGAGGCTGATCTGGGCCAGCATCATCATCTGAGCGTGGCAACAGGATGTGAGCTGGAACGGAGGGCGAGCCAGGGCGCTCGGGTACAGCAGAGGGTGGGAAGAGGGATGGAGCCGCCCGGCTTGGGGAGCTGCCAGCACCCAACCCTGAAACCTGCGGGAGGAGAGGAGGGCTGGGGCAGAGGGGAGGATGGGCCCCCCGCCGGGATGGGTCATGCCAGGTATGGGAAAAGGGGGGGGGGAAAGCTAGGGAGGGAGGAAAAAAGGGCAGAAAAGGTTCAAAAAGTGGGATAGCCGAGATAAAGAAGGTGAGCAAGTGCGCTGGCAGAGCTGTGCAAAGCAACACAGGGATTTTTGTGCTGACATGGTGACTTGTCCCAGTTAAAGGTCTTGCCTTAAAGGAGATCCATCACATACGAAGATTTAAACAGAACTAGGGTCACACTGGAGAGCCAAGAGTTACAATGTCCCAAAGCTTGAGGGCTTCTAACACGAGGAATCTAATTTAAACCCATTAAATAGAAATTATCTTTCTCAGCAACATGTTGGAGAAGTGCAGAGAGAGAGCCCAGCCTTTTAAGAGGGTGGATTTCAGCTCCAAAAAAAAAAAAAAAAAAAAAAAAAAAA